AGGGAATTCTTATTTGTTCAGAATTTTAGGTAAAATTTTCTAGTTAATTTTCTGGCTAAATGAGGATTGCTATATGTATTAATGTATTGTCAGTTTGCAAAATACAAATTTTTAAAGCAAGGTTAACACAAATAGTCACAAACAGTTTCATAATTAACAATTCAGTCATAGGCAGCATAGTAAACGGCCGTAAGGACGTCTTTTTTAATGTCATTGGTATAGTCTCCAATTTATAAACAGTTTTGTTCCAATGCTTCTATGCCAATTGTTTGCAAATCATAATAATGCTTCATGTTTTAAAATTTCACATACAGGGGTTAGGTTTCCAGATTAGTGCAGAAAAGTTTTTTAAGTAATAACTCAACTGTAATAGGGCTCTGTAATAAAACCACCACTTACACCATTGCTCCCTTGTGAAAATGCATCCAGAACTGACTTGGGATGCCAGATTCCCTTCCTGAGATTCCACCTTATCAGAGAGCACAGAAGTAGCGGTGAATCTCCTGTAGGTGTGGCAGCAGCAGTGTGTGGGGGGGGGGACCTGGACGTCCTGTTGGTGGGGACAGGGAAACTCTGCTGAACACTAGCAGCTAGAGAGGGAGCTGCCGGCTAGCTATTTGGCTAGAAGGGATGTGCGTCAGTTGTGAGAAGCCCGTGTTATTGCCAAAAGGAGTTTATACTGGCTATTTGAACCTTAGATAATTAGGAGTTTGCTGTGTTATTATTTTTAACCCTAATTCCATATATCATATTAATTAAGGTAGACCATATGTTATAGTTAGTGCTACTCAAAGTATGGCCCAAAGACTGACTCTGCCTGCGAACTTTTTGTTACCTGCAATTAAGAGTAAAGTGTAGAGAATCTTTTGTAGCAATTGACAGGATACTTTTACAGCTATTGAGTCTAATATTAAAAGATGAGAAGTGGTGTCTTATTTAACTTTTCCAGTAATTCTTTTCACTCATTTTTATTATAATTTACAAAAGTATTAGTTTAGATAGACTGGAAATTTGGCAATCAGGTCTTTTGGAGAAGCGCTGCTGTAGTGCAGAGAGTTGGGCTACAGGGATCTGTATACATGAGGGCACTTCAAAACGTGCGTGGAAAGATTCATTTTATCTTTTATTTCTATTTTTCCACAAACTTTTTGAAGTACCCTCATAGACTTGCTGAGTGACCTTTGGTGAATGACATAATCTCTCAGATTTTATTTAATAGATTGAGACTTCGTAGCAGGCCTGACGCAGTCTGCGAAGTCAAGTCAGCGATGCAGGAAATGTCAAAATATGTATTTTATTTAATGGCAAAAATGTGGGACATTCAGCCTCAGTTATTATTGCCTGCCTGCCCCATCCCTAGCCAGGGAGGCTTCTATCTGGGGCTCAGAAAATGCAGACACAGTAAATGCCAACAGCCTCATTGCCTAAGCCCACAGCCTGGTCTTGAACTCCAGGGCTCTCTGCTGCTGAGGCTGAGCTCCTGGTGCCCAGCCCTCCTTGGGTCCCACGCCTCCATCTCGCCATGATGCCCTGTTACTCTGGGGCCAGGGCCTCCTGCCTCTGAGCCAGCCGGGTCCCAGCCACCTCTCCCCCTCTGAGATTTACCCCTCCGAGTCAGGACACTCAGTTCCACCTCTTCAGTGAGCTCAGGCTACAGAAAACCAAGGCTAGGAAGGAAAGTATTTCCAGGCTTCTTTCAATTTGGCCAGTACAAACTTCCCCTGAGGCCAGGAAGCACAGTGTGGCCTGGGGAAACTTTGGGGGAAGAGGGACAGGGGGAGGGACAGCAGAAGAGAAAACCCACAAATTCCTCCCAGTGTGTTTACCTGGTAAGAATGAGGCAGCGGGCCCTTCCTGACAGGGTTGTTTGAGGATCGAGTGAGTGCATGTATTGAAAACGGACAGAGAGTGCCCAGCACACAGTCGGTCCACAGGACTGTGTGTGCCCTGCCCTCCGAGAGGCCCTCACCTGGTTTCCAGGTCAGGAAGCTCCCAGCACCCCCGGCCCGTGCCTGCCTCTTGGCTCGTGGTCGTGCAGCCACGTGCCTGGCTGTTTGCAGCTGGCTGTTTGCAGGTGGCTGTTTGCAGGTGGCTGCGGGTTCCTTCCCTTCCCCTTGGATGGGCTGGGCCGTGAGCCGAGGGTGCTGCGTCTGCCGTCTGCGCAACCCACGCTCCACTTTCCCGCGTGGGCTTCAGAGGGTCTCTGATACTTTTGATGTTTGGTGTTTTATTTCTATACTTTAATGCGTACTCTCTTACATTTTTAACAATTTTTTTTTCCCAGCAAAGATCTTATCAGATATACTTATCTGTCCTTCGATTCTAATTCAGCAGGTGTGGGGTGGGGCCTGAGGTCCTCGCAGTCCTAACAAGCTCCCAGGTGATTTCTGTACGACCGTGTCACTTACAGGAGCAAGGCCAGAGAGGCCTCTGATGTTCCCAACTGGGCCTTTTGTTGCCCATCAGCTGCCCTGAGCCTGCCCTTTTCTTATTGCAAGGGGTCTGATCATCAGGGGCAGCACCGGCTCTGAACTCCTTCCACTCCCACATGTCTGCATGCCCCAGCCCGTGAGCTCCCAGTGACTCGATCTCTGCGTGCACGGCGTGGAGCTCTCCACGGGTAAGGCTCAGCAGTTGCTCCCCAGGGCTCACGAACCTCCCGCTGGCCTCCAGCCATGGGGTCCCTAGTTCCCGGAGGTGAGCGGCCAGTCTGAGTTCGGAACTCCATCGTGAAGGCCGCTTTTCGGATCTCCATCCAGCACCAGTGATTCTCACAGGAAAACAGAGCAAGGACAAAGTGATGGCGGTTCACGTGAGGAGCTCAGACTCGAGGAAGGGCAGGCAGGAGGCGAGTCGCAAGGACACCCGGGGGTCCTGCTACAGCACGTCTGTCCAGGTCGGCACCCACACTCTCCTGCAGGCTGCTGAGGGAAATGACCGTTCCTAGCCCCAGGGAGGGTGGCCCGGGCCGTCTCTGCCCAGCCCTTCCTTCTCTATCCCGTGGCCATGGTGCCAGAGCCACAGGCCGTTGTTCCTTCTAAGCTGGAGGTGGCAGAGACTCTGGGTGTGCGGTCAGTCAGTCTGGCTGCATGAGGCATCCCAAAAAAGGGGTGGCACCCCTGGGGCTGGTGACAGGTCAGCCTGGCGGAGGGTGGCAATGGCAGTGGGAAGGGCTGCCGGAGTCTGAGCGTGCACAGCACCTGGGGACGGGGCACTAGGCAGGGTGGCTCGTCCTCTGCTGTCCTCAGGCCACCACGGAGAGGGCAGAAGAAGTCACCCCAGTGGCTGAGAGTCTGCGGCCACGGACATTTCCTTTTGTGTCCACGTGATGACGAGCCCGGTGCTTCTTCAGTCTGTGCACCTCCGTCTGGCCCCACCATGGAAGCAGCTGGAGCAGAAGGCGGACCCCAGTTCATCTGCAACAGACCCGGTCTCCCCGCGCATGTGGCAGGCATGGGCATGGCGGGCCACTCCTTGCCCTCTGTCCATCTGTCGGCTGGGTAGAAGGCTCCTCGCGTGTGAAGGTCACTGCGTGAGGACAGCGTTCCTGGCCCCCCCTGCTGTGTCCCTCCCTCTGCCCCGGGGACGGAGAAGTGACTTGATCTGATTTGTAAGGTGGGAGAGAGAAGCCAGGCCCTGCCCTTGATCTCGGGCCCAGGGCTCCGCTCAGCAGCACGCACGTCCCTCCCAGGCACACTCACCTGCATGGCTGCTGCGTTCAGTGAGGTGCTGTGGGCAGGGTTTGTGCACGTAGGAAGTGCCAACACTGATATTTCTTATCACCATAATCGACAGGCTTTGGAAGGAGATTAAAAATAAGCCTGGTTCTCCTAGGCAGAGCCCTCGCCATTTTTGGATGTAGCTGGGTGAGATCAGCTGCGCCAATGGGTAATTCTACCGTTTCCTGTCTGGGGGGCCTCTGGGGCTACATCTGATTCTTATTTTATGAATGTGGAAACGCTTTCCTCTTAGGTTTTCCTCGGCGTTGGTTTCTTTCTCAGAGTTGGTGCAGGGGGTGGACAGTTGGGCGTATTTTCCTTCAGACCTGGGCCTTGCCGCTTTCCTCTCATGGAGCGATGTGGTTTTCAAATCAGGGCTGCTGATACCCTTTCCTTCCTCACAATGATGCGCACTTCATCCACCCCCTCATGCATAAACCCTGACTTGAGTATCAAGGCTTTGGACTCAGTGTGTGAGAAGCCTCAGAAAAAGAAATCACACCTCATCAGCAAGAGCGGCTTTGGAAAAAGCCATGTGTGGTATACAGCACGCCAGTGCGTTTCCAGGACATGATGGCAGATTAGTCAGATCAAGCTGTAGACGAGTCAGGAAATTCTCACATGATTTTCAGTTTCCCATACATGATTCGGGTGGATGAAGCCAAATGACTGACACCCAGGGTTTCAGAAGCACAGTGGTGTGGCCCGTCCTGGAGTCAGCGTTGAGCTGAAGTCTCCCGCAGCACCGATCAGGGCTTGCTGCTGAGTTATGCAGCGTTCGTGTCTGCGCTGTGTGCGGCTGGGCTTCAGGGACAGAATCAGATTCCTGAGAAACACCCCCAGAACCAGTCTCAGAACTCCAGCAGCCCCTGTCTCTCGAGGAAGCTCCTTTCCCTCATGGGCCGTGTGATTTGTTTCTTTTATAGTTTCCGATGTTCTGGCATTAAAGGGAATTCCCACTGAGGGCCATTGTGCTGTGGATATCACATATGCTACAGGCTTTGTCCTCTCTGACTTTGAAAAGGATACATTTAAAGACAACGCTGTTGCTGCCGTTGCCAAGTCGTAATCAGTATAACATGTCTTGGGGGTAATAATTCATTCCCAGTGTTTTCACCAAAGAGAGACATTTGAAATTATCCTTTTTGGTCCACTCCTGAAGATTGTTGTCACATCGTTTATTATCTTTATGGTTGGGGCGTTCCGAGGCTGCGGTTGCTGTGTGGAGAGGCAGATTTTCTTGCACATTGCTTGAAATTATTGTTTGTGTTTTTCAAACAGGTGGCTGCACTATGATCCCAGAATCGGACCTAGAGGAAAGATCAATAGAACAAGACTCCACGGAGCTGTTTACCAACCACAGGCACCTCATTGCAGAGACACCCGTGCCTGGTAAGAGAATGGGTGGCCTTCACGAGTGATATGTCAGGAGCGGTGACACTCTGGTCAGTATTTGTGATACCAGAGAGCATATCCCAAAGCTGTTTGGTTTCCAACGTCTTCATCCTTCCCCTTAGCATTGGTGCAGCTGAATTTGATCATTTGTTGTTGTCTGTTTGTTTGTTTGTTTTTGCAGCTGGCCAGTAAGGGGGTCCGAACCCTGGACCTTGGTCTTATCAGCACTTCGCTGTCTCCCGCTGAGCTAACTGGCCAGCCCCTGGAATTTGATCATTTGTGTATCCTCGTCATTATTCAGACATTTTCTCTCTCTTTCTCTCTCTCTCTTTCTTTTTTCCAGAAGTTTCACCCCTCCAAGGAGTCTCAGAGTAATCCAGGTAGAGTTGTCTGCTTGGGAGGAAAATGCCTTCCCAAGGCTGATCCTGCGTGGACTTCATGCCAAGCACAGACGCGGGGCTGGTCCAGGTGCTTCACAAAGCTCAACTTCCTGGAGGTGACACTGTGCAGAGACGGGGAGCACGACTTTTCATTTTGCCAGGAGGACTTGTGACGACCCTGGGCAAGTCAGTAGAAACTTGTCTTGCTGGGAAAGGATGCTGCTGCCTGTGGTCATCTGTGTGCTTATAGTCACAGGATGTAGTGAGATGACATAGTTTGGGGACAGACTTTATAGCAGAGATCCAGATCCAAAATAATTTGATACCCCATTTTTTCACAGAATTCTTATATATTAAGTATATCAAGTTTAATAAAGCATTTCATTGTCAAACAATATCTTGGATTTGATTTATGATCAAGGGTTTTATAAGTGATTTCTCTACATTATTTCTTCAAAGGAAAGGAAAGGAATTGAGAACTTTGCTACTCCATGGTAAGACTTGAGTGGGATTATTTTATAAATAAAAGAACCATTACAGAACTTTCATATGATTTTCTCTATTAGGCTAAAAGTGGAAGGAGGTGGGTTTTCTAGTATTGTGTGAAAATGTTAAAATATTTTTAAGGTAGCTAGTCCATTAAAATCCTCTTTTCATTCACCCAGTGTGTGACACCATTTAAAAATCCAGTTTAAAATATGAATCACACTTTATTACAGTTAAAATTTAAAGTTTTTATATGTAAGAAATAAAAGAGGTTTTTCCAACTTCAAATTAGAATTACAGTTATAAAACTGATTTGTTTAAATGAAAATATGTCTATGTTAGTTTGGGGGTGCCTCTCAGTACAAAGGGGAAAGTTGGTCATGGTTTCGCTATATGTGGTGTCACAAAACAGCAGGGAAAAACAAACAGCAGAGGAGGTATTACTTATTATTTATAGCATCCTTTTTTAGGAGATGCAGCAGAAGATGTGACATTTAAATCGTTGACTGTAGGAGTGAACGACTTGCAGCCTTGGGGCCGGAGTCGACCATTAGGTGAACTTCACTCAGTCTGCGAGGGCCAATGCAAAGATGTCCTGGCTCTGTGTACGCCTCTAGTCGCAAAAACACAACACTTCTGAGGGTCTTCAACTGCTTGTTCAAGAAAGATTATAAGAGAGGTATATGACTTCTTGAAAACATGTTTCTGAGTTCTGTGGATTGAATGTTCCCTACAAACTCATTCAAGCTTAATCCCCATTGTCACAGTGTTAAGGGGTTGGGAAATCTGACTCTGGTATTTGAAAGGTGGGGCCTTAAGAGGCGATTGGATTATGTGGACTCTGTTCCCGTGAATGGATAAATGGGTCAGTGGTTTAGGGGCTTATCACGGGAGCGGCACTCGTGCCTCTATTAGGACAGCAAGTGGCATGTTAAAGTGCCTTTGCCATTCTCACCACGTGATTGCCGGCGTTGTCAGGGGACCCTGGACCGAGTTCCCACCCAGAAGAAGACCCTCACCAGATGGACCCCGGACCAGGGACTTCCCAGCCTCCAAAACTGTAAGAAATAAATTTCATCTTCTAAAAATAAACCACCCAGTTACCGGTATTCTGTTATGAGCAACAGAAAGCTAATAGTGTGATGTCTTTTTCTGAATATTTGGCTCCCATGGATGAGTTTTGTACTGTGCATGTGCCCATGTGCTCGTTTCTTTCTCTCCTGCCGTGTCTAACGTGTACCTATCCATCTGTTGGCCGTTCTTTAACTCAGCTTCTCTTTGTCTTATCTTGTTCATCTGCCTTGAACAGTGTTTCTTTCTCTTTCCCTTTTGATTCTCCCCCTTTATTTCCCATCATATAACACTGAAGCATATTGCTTGGTGTGTAAAGGTTTGAATATGCGCGAGGGCAGTGATTTCTGTCTCTTTCACATCCTTCTTCTGTTGTTTCCTTCTTATTTATGCAGCTCGTGACTGCTCTGCTCTGAGAGGGTGACCCCCGACATAAATTCAAAAGGCTTCCTGTCTCTGGTTTGAGTTTAAGGTGACTGTTGTTGCTGTAATTACATGTTACACTGAGAGTTCTTATGTTTACAAGTAGATTGGTAAAATGTTTTTTCTGGAAAATGTTATCAGTATTTTAAGCCTATTAACATAATTACTTGATCAAATTTAATTTTTGAGTCACCTTTAACACACAAACATTTTTTAAAATATAGAATTTATTAACTTTCACATTTGACTGGCTTGCCAAAAGAAAAGTAGTCTTGAACATTATCAAATTTAAAATATAAGTTCTGAATAGGATAAAGTAATTTGATTCATGATTTAAAAGTACCTTTTGATAAAGGATTTCCTGAAGTTAGGTTGTGTTTATCTGTCTTTTACCCCTGATTTTAACCTAATGATTTAAAAACACACATTGAAATCTTACTACTAACAGAAAAATAATGGAGCTAGGAATTATGTTATACTTTGGAGTGGCATTTTAAATGTCAGGACTCAGATAATTATTAAAATGGTTCTCATTATTTTGGCACTAGTCTTTAATAACAGTTGTTCATTATCTTGTGAGTGTGTGTGTGTGTGTGTGTGTGTGTGTGTGTGTGTGTGTGATCTTGGAGTAGCTCACAAAACTGGAAGAAGTAAGATGATCCATGTTTTTGATTAACCAGATAGTCTCATTGTTACCCAATAGATCAGAATAGCTATTAGTAAAATAGCAACATTTATTAAATTTTTACTGTGTGCTAGGCACAGTGTTTAGCATTTTATATGCAGGATTTTATTCATTCCTCTTGACAATACTGTGATCTAGGTACTGTTATCTCTATTTTTAAAATGAGAATAGCGAGGTTCGTAGAGGGTAAATAATTTATCCAATGTCTCCCAGTTAGTATATAGGAGAACTGGGATTTTAATTCAGCCTGACTCCAAAATCCCAAATACACACCCATGTGTGCAGGTTATTGGTAAAAAACTACAATAAAGTGCATTTAAAACTGAAGCCTTTTAGTTCAAGACATCTACATTTCTTTGATTTCTAATGTGGTTGTCCATTTAAAAATATATACTTATTGGCCATGTATATTTCTTTTTTGATGAATTACCTATTAGTGTTCTTTGGGGGGGGGGTTGGTGGTGACAGTTATCTCCTTATTTATTTATAATAGCTCTTTGTGTAGAAATGATATTGATCTTTGGTTGGTCAAGTATGATATAGACCTTGTTCTCAATTTTTCACTTGTCTTTTCATTTTATTTCTGTGTTTGTTTTTTAAACAGGTTTTCTAAATATTAAGTAGCTGAATCTATTCATTTCTGTCTTTGTGGTTTGTGCCCTTGGGGTCAAGCCTTGGGTGTCTCAGGCCCTGTCCTGCTTCCCCGTGAGGGTCTGAGGTCCTGCCCAGGCTGCTCCATTCTGTGCTGTGCCAGGCTTCAGCCGACTCCTCCATTGCGTTCTCTGGGTTGTATATGCCACCAAGCTGCATTCTCTCCTGCTCTCCTGTCCTCAGAGTTTTACATGAAATACCTCTTAGGTTTTACCCGCTCTTTACCGCTGCTCCTTCACCCTACCAGGGAATGACTCAAGTGGCAGACACTGCACCTGCAAAAGCTCTGTTCCCATCTGATGCTTGGGCCACCTTGTGGGCTGTCCTTTAGGATGACTGGCTTCCCCACAAGGATCCCTAACATTCTTGTAAATAGCCTTGCCCATGCCCTCCCCAGCTCTCCAGACATAGCCAAACACATCCCCAGCCCATGTGAATGCAGGTTAGGCTCAGGTTGGGTGCTCTGTTCCAACCTAAGTTGTTGGGTCCACCGCCGGCCGGCCGAACAGCCCTTGCCTCACTATCAGTCTCTCCCTTGGTGTCCCTTCTGGTGGGCGAGCGAATTGCCCGGATTCCTCTTTCCCTCCTGTCCCCGTTGGAAGGAGATGGGGGAAGAGAGCCGTGAAGAGAGGTGAGCACAGCTGCCGGCCCCAACCAGCCAGTTAAAGGACACTCAGATGTGGCGGGGGTTCTGTCGAGCAGTTCCGTTTATTATCACACAAGCACTTGCTTTTAAAGGCAAATGGGGAAGGGAGGTTTTTACATCCTCTGACCAGCTTAAAGGTTACGAGAGCATGCATCCTGTCTCAATGCCTAGCTATCGCAATCACGCAGTGTTCATGAGCACAGAAGCGTGTATTTGGCCAATAAGGGCTAAGGCAAGGTTCCCGCAGACCCCCCCACCCTACTTCCTCCTGGCGCCGTCTTAGGCTGCCACGTTAATATGCCCTTGTGGGCCCATAATGGCGCTGGGTGTAATGTCACTTAAGGTGGCGTTAGTTTTTAAGGCCCGACACTAAGTCAGTATGTACAGAAGCACGTCAGCATCGGAGTCTGCATCCTAATTCCCCAGTTAGGACGCAGACCTAAACCCTGCATGTTTTGGCCCCCACCCCCTGCCCCAGCCCCATTCAACAGACTGGCTTGTGAAAAGGGGACGTATTTCCATACGTCAAATACACCTGGAACCACAGGTTCACTCAGGTTTTAGCAGGTGAAGTTGAGGAACATGAGGTTGTGGTATGAATAGCTTTACTATAATTTTATTTTTAAAAAATCTCCTATGGCTTAAAACTGGCAACCCTGTATTTTTTTAAAAAATCTGCCTCCTACTGTGGGTAATTTGTATTGCAAAATCTGCACAATTCCCTATTACATAAAAATATAGGTCAAGATGAGCAAGACAATCAAAATGAAATGCATGTGAGGTGTGTGTAAACCCCTTGAAAAGCGTTATATAAATACAGGACTGGCAGTGGTCATCTGCCATAGCACCAACAAATGTCCTTTTTGTGTGCCAACAGGTGTCCTCCACAGCCCCTGTTCAGGGACTGAGGGTGTGCCCACAAAAGTCAGGGGGCTGGTAGGGCAGGCCGATGGGAGAGATGCAGGCCGGTGCTTTTCACCCTTGATTGTCTATATGTGTTTTCCGAATATCCTTTAATGAATATATATTGCTCCTGTAATAAGAGGGAAGATCCCATCTTTGTATGTATCAGTCTGGGTATCAGCAGTAGTGATGATATAAATAACAGTTAGTAATGTACTCTTGGTGCTTAGCATTTGGTATTAACAGCACGAGTTTTAGAGAATAATCTATTTGGACACTGTGCTCCAGTAATTCTGAAAGCTCCAGAGTATAATGTGTTATCATCAGAATAACATGATTATAATTATTTATAGCAGTAACATGAGCATAAAATTTTATTGAAATTATAAATTTCTCTTTATGTCCTTAACATCTTTTGATGCGAAAAACAAATGTGTCAGTTAAATACAAAATCAATCCTAGAGAAGGCTCTGAAGGAGCCTGCGAGGCCGTGTCGATCTCCTGCAGTGCTGCCCTCTCAACAGCCTTTC